AAATAAATCTAAAATTATAATAAATAAAAACATATTAAATTCATCTGTCACAATAAAGGGATTATTAAATTGCATTTTAAAAAGAGATATCTGTTCTCTCAAAATATACTATAAAAGGGAAAGAGAGAAGGATATTTTCCTACCAATTACATCACGGTCATGGTCACAGTTCTCCCATTGTTTATTGATTTGCTCGAGTGGGCCCAGTAACGTCTCCATCTTCAGACTTGTGTTACTGTTTGGCATATTGAATACTGTGTAAACTCACACAAAGGGGGCGCAGCACACAGCGGCGGTGGCTCTATCTCTCCCGCCACCCGCGTTCGGTTCACCCTTCTTCCCTCACCCCGGGGAGGTCGGTGGTGATGGGCAGGCAAAGGAAGGAATGAGGGCCAGGCTGGTTGGTATCAGTTGCAGTTTATTCCGATCCTCTCTCCATCTACACCAGTCTCCTTTCTCTGCCTCTGCTGCCCCTTTGCCCATTCTACAGTCTCATTATATCTCTCTCCATGAGGAATTGGAGGAACAATTACACATAGGTGTGGTCACAATCAATAGGGATAGAAATCTTAGCCTCAGGGAAAGCCGCTCCTGGGACAGATCTTCATTATCAAATCAATCCACCCTAGAGCGGATTCTCCTGGGTGTGTTTCTCTTCTCCTTGTCTAGCAAACATATAAGCATATATAATATAAATCATTTTGTATGGATACAGTAAGAAATATCTTAAACTTATAGAATTGCTCTCCTAGGGCCATCTCGATCTCAGACTACAGTGCTCAAGCCAGATAGTCTTTCCCACCCCTAGCAGGATCCTAATCTAGTCGTTACCTTTGGATCATGACAGCATTTGTCTATGATCAAACTCTTAACTTATAGTTAAGAATCATGGCACTTTGGCCTGGCCCATTTCGATGCCAGGGTAGCTCACCGCTTGCCCTGGGTCCATTCAGTCCCTCGTCGGGACCCTGCTTTTGGGGTGTTAGGAACTAAGGGAAACTGAGGCAGATGTCCGGGAGTGAGTAATATTCAAAGCCAATCAAATCTTAAGTTACAAAGCATAATGTTAACGGTCTTCCTGTATCTATACAAAAGGATATTGCTTTAAAGTAAACTGTTCATAAGGCATAAGGAGAGGAGAAAGGCAATATTTCACTCATACATATAAAGTCATAGATTTCTGGGAATCTGACCTTACAAATTAACAGAGTCTGATTAGGGGGAAAGCTGATTAACTGGGTGGGGAGGAGAGCATAGGGAAGACTGTTTACAGATAAACAGAATGGAATGGAAATGCTTCAGGAGCACTGTGATGGGTGTAACCAGATAAACCTAAACTCCTTGTGGAAGAAGGACAAAGCAATGTTACCCTACAGAATACATCACAGGTAGCTTGCCAGGCTTTGCCATGCGGGTGAGATACTCTTGGTAGCTTGCTGGGCTCTCTTAGAGGGGCGGAGGAATCAAACTCGGGTAGGCCATGTTGACCGCTGCAAAGCAAACGCCCTACCGCTGTGCTATTGCTCCAGCCCCTACCAATTACATACAATATTAAATTAAGATTTATTATAAATAAGGCAGTATGGACTTAATGTAAAATGAGTAGTAGAAAAATAGAATAGTATAGTAGTTTAAAAATATTCTGTATATAGCAAAACTGACATATAACTGATGTATAACTGATGAAAAGTGGGGGAAAGAATGAAAAGTGTCTTTCCAAACTAATGGATCATACATATATAACTACAAAATAATTAAGCTCTTAACTCATACTAAACACCAAAGATATGACCCCAGTGTGACATAAAACTTCACGATTCTTACAAGTAAATACAGGAAAATATGGCATCCCAGTGGTGGAGAGCCTGTGCTCCCTTTGTTCTCCCTTCCTCCCTCCTCTCTCTCTTTCCTCCCTACCTTCCTCTCTTCTTTCCTCCCTACCTTCCTCTCTTCTTTCCTCCTTTCCTTCCCCCATTCCTCCTTTCTCCCCTATTTCTCCTTTCCCTCCCTCCTTCCATCTTTCTTTCTTTCTTTCTTTCTTTCTTTCTCTAACTCTCTTTCTTTCTTTTTTCTTTCTCTCTCCTTTCTCCTACACTAAAATGTTAGAAAACTTTATTTTAACAAATGTATCTGATATTCAGAATTATAAAAATTACAAATTTGTAAGAACCCAAAGAAAATTGATGAAAGATATGACAAGTCACTTCACAAAAGAAGCTAGAGTGTCCAATAAATATATGAAAAGACATTCAAACCACCAGAAATTAAGAAAAACAAAATACAAAAACAATGGGATACCATTTCGTGTTTATCATGATGACGGGTAAAAATTTCTGTCTGAGAATTGCAAAGGCTGAAGATTCAGGAAAGCTTACAATTTCCTGTTAGGAATCTAAATTTGTTCAGTTAACTTATTAAAATGGTTATAATGTAGTAATAGTAATTCCTTCCTGAGCTATATATCTGAGAGGAAAACTTATATTTAAGCATAAGGAAACACACACAAATGCTTTTTGCAATTATCAAAAAATGGCAAATAATATTAATCATCACCAATAAAATGCACACAGTGTGATTTATATATGTAGAATATTATGTAACAGTTAATATAAATGAAACTGAGTTACAAATATTTGTTTGTATGAATATCTAGAATACAATAATGAGCAGGGAAAATCATCAAATGGCATTTATAGTGTGACATCATTTATAAAAATTGGTAAAACAATACCAGCAAATTTTTGAACATAGCTATTAAGAAAAATTGAATTTATTACAGTGGTTCCTCTATGGTTAAGGGAGGGAGAGACGTGATCTGGCAAGAGTATAGGAAAATCTCAATATGATCTCTATATATTTTTGAACAGGGAACTTTGTGGCATAGATGCTGAAGTAAAGACAAGCTATTTGGTGGGAAAGGACAGCTGCTCTATTTTCCCCCTCTATATTCACAATAAACAAAATAAAATATTTAAAGAAAATAACAACTTGTTAAGGATTCTAGATTCTCACCCAGCATTTCTGAAGGCTCCTAGTCTATGAGGAGTGACAGTATAAGAATCGCAGTTTTGTGTTGAGGATGGTCTAGTGAGGGGCACTGACAGACAGACTAGTGTCCCCAGGGAGATGCCAAAACCCACTGCTTACTACTACATCTTCCAATGTGGGGAATGGGACTGGTTTAGAAAGTGAATTAAGGAGTTCCAATCCTGTGGACAGAATTGATCATATCATACATTCTAAAGGTACCTCCCAATCTTTCCAAGTCATGGCACATATGGATGATAAGGAACACTAACTTCCATTTGCAGGGCTCCAGCTGCTCCTGGTTCTACCTGTGTCCTGAGTTTAGTGAATCAATATCTCACAGTTGCAAATTTCACAGCATCACACAGCCTACTTGCAAGGCATACCAGTGTGTGACAACAGATCTTTTGGAAAATTTTCACCAGCGATGTCATTTTTCATCAAAGAGTTGTAAAATTTATAAACCAGTCCAAACTGTGGTAAGAGCATTGTTTTGTTTTGTTGTTTTTTATTTTTGCTGTGACACAGCTTCTACTAGAATTTGTGCAGTAGCAAATAGGAACAGAAAGAGCTAGCACAAAAGAGTTAGAATGAACAGTATTAACATTCTCTTTCATACTGCTGAAGACAGATCAAGAACCCTCTGCAATTCACTCTTAAGCATCATATCAGGGAGTGACTGGTTGGGACTGGGATGTGGCTCAGGACATAAGGAGCAGAACAGAACACAGTTACAAAGCAGAGTGACCAAACAGGACAGGACAAAGTAAGCCCTCATTGACACTTTAGTTAGGGATCTGATGCCCTAGTTATGTCAGCCCCATGGTGCAGAATTTTAATCAATGTTAACCATGCATATATTATAGCATATTCTAGGGACTAGATCAAACACTTTACAAAATAGTTCATCTTTGTTTTTATAAAATCCCCAACTAAATGAGCTCTAACAAGTGAACATAGAATTATGATCCTCTACCCCAGTTACATGACTCGTCTTTGTGCTAGGACAATTTCTCAGTCCCCTAGTAAGTCAACAAATTGGCCCTGGATACCAGATAGTCTTGATGGAAAACAGGGATAGTATTGTATAATCATGCTAATTACTAAAATACTAAAAAACATCCATTTACATTTTTGGTAAGTACTCATTCCCATAGCCCCACAATCCTGACATACAACCATTCCATCATACTGACGCTTCTTGAATATCTCATTTCTTGAAGATCCACTGACCAAAGTATTAATACTGAAAGCAGCATGGGACCATCAGGGTATTTAACACTTTATCATGAGTGGCTGAAGATGAACCACCACATTCATGCTTGATAGTCCAGTAACACAATTAGTCACACCATTCCCATGGATCCCAGGAGAGAACAGCATCTCTGAATGGTCAGGTTATCAAACCAGAATAATATACCTCTCTGAAAAAATTAAAGTGCTCACACCTCTCTTTGAGGTTAGATGCCAGGTGTAAAGAACCTTTTGAATCTGTGACAGGTTTGTGGGGGATTTGGCATTCCCCTAGAAGTGAGACACTCATCCTGACAGAAGACCAAACCTGGTCACTTGCCTAGGCTGGTCTTTTCTCATGAGCCATCTTCCTTAATTGTAGCTGCCAATTCCCATGATTTAAAACTTATCTTACAGGACACCAGGATACTTGAGTCCACTGCATGACTCGAGAAAAACCAAAACCAAGCCAGTCTTGGAACCTAACAGCAATACTGGTGTATCAGCCCTGCTATTTGCAGAAGTGAGAGGAGGCAGCACAGAGCTTGGAAAGGGAAAAGAAATGTCGGGTGGGGGTGGGGCAGAGGATAAGAGGGAGCAATGCCATTCCTGGAGCAGGGGTTCTGTTGTTCATTCAGGGACTCAAAGGGGAGCAGGGATTTCATTTTGATAGGCAACCAGGCAAATACATTCCCAGGAAAACAAAGGAAAGACAAAGCAGAATGGCCAGGTCTACTCACCAGGGCTGGTTATTGTCAGGAGTTCAAGCTGTCGCTGTTGCTGCAAAAGAAAACACATTATGAGAACATTTATTAGAGCCCAACTAAACCCGGGATTAACAGGTCAGGGCAGATGTGCAAAGGGCATGTTTTTTTTCAATATTACTGTTTTAATGATTGATAAAACAATTGATAAAGAATATAGGCAACAACAAATATTGACAACTATATTGACCTAATTGGTGTCAACAAACATTAACAAAATTGTGGGATAAAACATGGGGTAAACCATGACCATGATGCTCACTCACAATTCTGCATAAAGTCACCTTTGTGTTTGTTTTTCGGTCACATCCAGCTATGTTCAGGACTTACTCCTACCTCTGTGCTCAGGGAGCACTCCAGAAAAGCTAGTGAGATCATATGAGGTTCTAGGGACTGAACCCAGGTCAGCTGCGTGCATAGCAAGTGCCTTAACAGCTGTACTATCTCTTCTGTCCCTCTGGAATTGTCTTGAGCCCTGGCCTAGAAACAAAGAAAAGGAGCCTTCAATTTATACTGAAAGCTCAGAGGGACCTAGGGTTATTCCAGTCAAATCTGCATTAAACTTAGGGGGAAAATGAGGCCTGAGAAGAATATGGTTTTCTTGGATCACAAAGAAAATCCCATTCCAGATTCCTAGTACTGCTTCTAGTCTCCAACAGTTTAAATGGTCTGGAGACGTTTAGGGACACAAAGATCAATGCCATACCTCTCCAGGCTAAACCAATCTGCTTCCCTCCTTTCCTCCTTCCCTCCCTCACCCCCTCTCTCCTTTTCTTCCTCCCTCCCTCTCCTCCTTCCTTCCTCTCTCCCTTCCTCCCTCTCTCCCTCCCCTCTTCCCTCCCTCCCTCTCTCTCCTTCCCTCCATCTCTCCCTCCCCCCCACCCTCCCTCCTACCCTCTTTTTTTTACCATCCTTCCCTATTTTCCTACCATCCTTCCTTCCTTTCTGTTTGTTTTTATTGTGTGTGTGTGTGTGTGTGTGTGTGTGTGTGTGTGTGTTTTGGAACACAAAAACAGCATTGCTCAGATGTGATTTTCTCTAAAGAACAGGTCTCAAATCTCCTAGTCCTGTGGTCCCCCTTTTTCTACATTTAACTTTGATTTTTCTCAGAAAAACATTTCTAAGATCGCTCTAACCTTGTTTCCATGTCATCTCATGTGTCTAAAAACAGGTCTGTGTCCTCTCAGGGCTTTCTCAATCACATCTTTCCTGCCAGCTTCTAACTCATTACACTTGACATTTTCAAGCAAACAATGCAGCTCCAAGATGTCACTGACCTACATCCTTGCCCTGAAATGAAACACACACCCACACATGTGGGCTAGCAGGAATGCTGGAGTCGGGCCACCTTCCTCCCCAAACAGAACCAGGCCAGTAGTACAGTTGCCTTTGCCAAGGCCAACCTGTGTGGCTTGGCACTTTCCCCTGAATGAGAAAAAGAAAAATCCAGTGACCTCCTATTTTTTCCATAAGCTGTACTTTGTGATTATTGCAGCTGGCGAAGGAAGTCTATTTATCTGAGAAGTAACTATTTCCTAATTAAGAGCTATCTTAAATGGTGATTTTCTATCCAGCTTCCAGTAGAAAAAAAAGCAAAGATAAACTTTACAGGAGACATACAGATAGGGATGTGAGTCCTGGTTTCTCGTGTGGCTGTGATAACACACAGCATGATTCTGGCCTCTAACGCCACACCTCTAAAATGAATGAAGTTATTCATTTATACCTCCAGCAAAAGCAACCAGGCAATGTGCTTGTGGGCTCCCTCTTCTGGTGTAGAGTTTCCTGAGAATCTCTTAAATCAGGACAGAGTGCTTAAAAGACAGAAAAGGCAAATGGAACCAAAGGTTAAGTTTTCCCCTTATATTGCAGTTTTCCGCACACGTGGTTCTCTCTTATTAGTTGAGGGACATGTTAAGGGTCTGGAACAACTAATATTCAGTCTATGACATAGGGTAAACCTTGTTAAGCATTTGCAAAATGTGATTCAATCATTCCTGGAATCAGTATTATCCTTTCAATCACCCCCTCCCTCACTTCTTTGTTCATTCTATCCCTCTATCTCTCTGACTAGTCTCTGATCATCTTTGAGGAGGATCCTCCTCACTAAGATGTCCATGAGGACCCTGTAGGTCAAATCCCCAAACCTAGACTCCTTTCTCTTCCTCAGAACAGAATGACCATTTGACAATTTGTTCTTCCAATACCTCTTATAAAAACTCCCTTGTATTATGTGCTGTCTTAATTAGTCACATTAGTTCATCCCTAGGTCTCTATCTGAACTTGATCCAATCTAGTTCGAATAATTCCACGATTCCATTGTTTCCTCTGCAATGATTCTTTCACATAGGAATTAACCAGCAAGAGAAGTAAGCATATCCGTTCCTCTAGGACTTTCCCTCTTCCACCTCTTTGGAATTTCTTGCTTGGTTTTGCTCTCACATCTCTGTACCCAGTAACACACTCTATCCAATGATTTCCCCAACTACACCCTCCCACCCTATCACTCCTGGAGAGAGATTCGTTCTTTTACTCTTATATATAGAACTACTCTTTAAATATGTATAGTTCCATCTGTCTGCACTATATTTGTGTGGATGAATTAAATCTAACCTGGTGACAGACCCCTTTAACCCAGAGTTCACTAACACAGTTTGCGTCCCCTAGTGGTCTCACAGATAAATGTGGGCTATTGTTCTCACCCCTAGCTCTTAAAATTGGGTGACAACCCGCCCATTCTCTACCCAGAAAGAAACAAAAATATAGGTATGTGATCTTGGGTTCTACTCCCAAAACTGCAAAAACGAAACATAAGAAATACACATTTAAGAATAACCATATATTAGTTTCTTTTACATAAGAAATGGGACTTTCCAAATATTTCTTTCAAAGATTTTTAAAAAGAAATTAAATGAAAGAGGACATTTTTATTATTAAATTGTATGTCTTATAGAGTCATTTGAAATTTCCAAAGGAAACTAAAAATAGAGCACATGATCTATGGAATTTGACTAATAATATGCAATCAGTTATATAGAGAGAGCTAGAACATGTTGAACATAAAGAACTATAAAAAATATCAGAAATAGTTACCAACATAGAGGGAACGGACCTTTTATATGGAGCTGATTCATTATCTAAAGCCTGGATTGTAGGAGATGCAAACTACCTGGAGGAAGTGAAGTCCATGAGCTGTGCACAGGATTTGGGACACTGTCAAGACTTCCTGGATGAGAGCTGAGCAGCCAAGCAGCCACGCAATTAGCTCACCAAAACCTAAGTTTAAAGTTGTCAGAGCTTTCACATGTGTGATACGAATACTGTATACATGTGTGTGCACACAAGTTCAAGTGTTCATGTGTGTAAATGTGTGTTTTTAAGAGAATGGAGGACAGTCCTTCTCAAGTAAAGGAATTTAACACTAGGAAAATGTGCCCAAGCGTGCCTATGTGATATCGCACTAACTCCCATGGAGGATGGGTATGCTACGGTGGGTCAATGGAGAACTGACACACAGGACTCCTAGCTATATATGAACCTTGCCTAGTGCCTCCAATGGACAATCAGAATGAACCCATTTTGCGTTTAACCAAAACTCACATTTGCATAGTGAGTGTGAATCATGACTCCATAGAAACCTATTGAGTAGCATGTTCAGAGGTCAATAGAATCAAATATCTGAATCTTATGTCATCCAAGAATTGACAGAACATCTACAGAAGATGCATAATGAACAGTCTGCAAGCACTCTTACTGCTGGAGTTAGTCATGGATGGTGCTCCAAGGATCCAGGGGAAGCTATTTTATTAATATGATGTAAGTTTATCATGGGCTGGAGCGATAGCACAGCGGTAGGGCGTTTGCCTTGCACGCAGCCAACATGGCCGACCCGAGTTCGATTCCTCCGCCCCTCTCGGAGAGCCCGGCAAGCTACCAAGAGTATCTTGCCCACACAGCAGAGCCTGGCAAGCTCCCCGTGACGTATTCGATATGCCAGACACAGTAACAACAAAGTCTCCAATGGAGACGTTACTGGGCCCGCTCGAGCAAATCGATCAACGGGAGGGCCTTTACTTTACTTTACTTTTAAGTTTATCATAGGTCACAGTGTTCTTAGGATGGAAATAGTGGAAGGTGGGTTAGTTAGCAACATTATCTAGGAAATGTGGTTCTCTTATGTGCTCAACTATTTTCAATGAAAACTATTGCCCTACATCAAAGAACCAATCATTAAAATGTTTGAAATTATGAAGCAACACATGCTTATTTTTATCATTCTCCCAATTTCTAAAAATTCAAGTAAACTAAAAACTAACACCACCAAATAAAAAAAAAGAGAGAACCACACTGAGAATTTTGTTGTATTTTCTTGTTATCTTATTTGTGTATACTTATAAGATCATATTTGTTTATGAGTACCTAATAAATGAGGTACATTTTTATCTTGTGCATCATTCTTTTTGTTTTTAAGTATTATTTTTATTGTCATAACTGATGTTTACTAGCAGTTACTATTAATATTTTGTTTCTTTTTTTTTTCAAGGGAAGCTGGCACTAATGAACATTACACAAATAACATTATGTGCTTTTTTTGTCTTATGATTATCAATCTGAACAACTCAGTTATTGCAATCTAGAGATCTGGACAAAGTAGGCTGAATCTGGGAAGATGCTTCAAGGCACTACCTAACTTGGAGATACATTTCATCTTCTAATCTGAAGTCCCTCCGACTAAGTACAGAAAATATTTTATAGGAGGAGCTCCAGACTCAAAATCAAAGATGTAAATCCTGATTCTGTCATCTCTCTGATCTGAGTTATTTTAGGTGTGTTGAACCATTCCACACCTAAAATAGACTGACCTCTAAGTGCTAATAGGAAAGAGACATTTAGGGGAAGAATTGTTCTAAAGGTGGGGCAGACAGATTGGGGAACATATTGGTTTAAAACTTGGATTTCTGAAGGCCAACACCAGCTCTGCTCTACCCAGGCTGACATTTTAACATGTAGTCAAGA